ATAGTGGTGCATGGTTGGAGCACCCTCAGATTCATATGCCTATGAACAGTGAAGGTCTATTCTATTCTTTTCTATTGTCTGGTTGAATATGGTCAAAGAAAATTATTTTTTTCAAAAAACATGCAGAATTCACTCTTTATTTTGGCAGATATTCAATCTTAATTTACTTGGATCACTGTTGGCAACGCAAAATCCACTTCCTAAAGTAAATGTGGAACATATTGACAGTATCTAGCCAGACTCAGACTAGTTAATACAAGATGTATCTAGAATAAGTTACAGTTCATCATAAAGTGTCTTCATTAAGACTCAGTTTGTCTGCATTTGAACTTTCTAAGTTTGCAGGTTAGCGACCATTCCTTCCCAGTGTGGTCTCACACTTCACACCCTCAGATCTCCTTGTTCTAAAGCTTCCATCTGATGTGTCACTTTGAATCGCCGCTGAGGCGAGAGAGCGTGACCTGTGATATTTACTGTCCTTTCTCATTTGGCATCTGTGAAAAGTGGGGTAATGGTAGAGATCTGACACTGACTGATTGAAGTAGACGACTGCAGACGCCCCATCAACACCTAAAGACCTCTGACACAAACCTGAAGAGGCAGATGAGCTGGATGAGTCATGCTTTGCTGCTTTTACATCTATGGCCATTGTTCTTATGTTAAAATGGACTTAAGTGATCTACTAATGTGATTTAGACACTGTGACGTGACTTTAAAACGGTTTAGCTAATGCTCTGTGGTTTCACTACCTTCAAGATGAGAAAAGAATCGGTGCTGATCTGCAGTAACGTTCATTTATGCAGCAGAAGAAGCTGTGGAAAAAGAATCTGGGATGAATTTTTCGTGGGGTCCAGCATCTTAGAGACCTCAGTAGCTCGGCACAGTGTCAAAGAAGGTTTTGTTGCCATGGCGGCAGGTTGTGCAAGATTTTCTCATAAAGAGAGAAATAAACACAAAGATTAAAAAGGCTACAGCTTGTCGTGTAGGTTTAAAATGTTGCAGCAGAATAAAGGAGATCTTATCAAATGATAAGTGTGTAAATTATGCACATGTGAATTTATGCTTTTACTGTTGCTGCTCCATAAACATCAGAAAACAATGAAAACTGCAGCAAGTCAGTGAGAAAAGCTCAAATAACATGAAAGAAGAAAATTAAAGTGACATTTCTAGCCAGTTTATAGAAATATCAGCCTGATTTTAAATATAGGAGAGATTATAATGTTGGCCCTAAGAGCAAATATGGTGTTCTTTAAGGGTTAGTTTTGGTTGGGTTCTACTCTATTTTGTTTTGAAGGCAGGGTGAGGGTTAATTTTATACGGTTCTTTGAATAAAATAGTTAATTTACCATAATTGAAATAATATTTAGTTCTAAAGTTCAAAACACAAACATGTGTTTGTTGTTGTCTGAATTGGTACCTTTGCATGTTTTTGGTTACATCAGTATGTTTACTCAGTGATGTGTAAACATACTGCAGAAGAAAACAGCATGATAATTTTAATGAGTCGATGCGGCCATTTTGTTTTTCTTTGATATGCAAAGTGATGTGATTATTCAACAAAAAACATTTGGAGCTTCTTTCTGGTAGTTATCCATCCATCCATCCATCCATCCATTTATCCTTCCATTCATCCATCCATCCATCCATCCATCCATCCATCCATCCATCCATCCTCCATTCTCTTCCGCTTAATCATAGTGGGGGCAATAGCCTAAGCCAGGGATTCCCAAAGTGTGGTGCAGGGTGCGCGAGCTGCCGCTAGGGGGTGCGCGAGGTGAAAAGTGTAATGGCTGCGGAGCTCAGAGAAGTCTGTCATTTGTCACCATTAGCATAGAAACTCATTTGTGGGCGGGCCAAAGAAAAAGTAAGTGGGCCCAATAAATGTAATTGAAAACAAGTATATTTTTGCGCGCGCGTGTCCTCCGCATGTGCCCAAGCTTCATAATAACAATGCGCCGAGCTTCAGCACTCTGGCCTGCGCACGCGGATATGTTCCGTATTTGATCATTTTTAACGGTGTTGGAGGAATCTGAAGGTGGCGAGTCATTCTGGCAGATTGTAATTAACACCCTGTCTCATGCAGGTGTTCTGACGTTGTAAACCTCACACACAGAACATTGTGGATGTAACTAAATAACAAGAAATGATTCCCATTCAGGCTATTGACAGCGCGCTGAAGATCTGAAGTTCAGAGTGCGTCTGTCAGAGGTCAGACGTGTTCCGGCTGAACCACGGCTCACGGGTGCACATGTGAGCACATCTGGGCTGGGCAGAAGTAATTTTACAACATTGGTTTAAATAGCGCGAGACGAGGTGACTTGAGCGGCTGTGCCGCGCGTGCGCGCGCACACACACACACACAGATTCAATAAGCACGCACGCTGCTTTAACTCCGGCGCGCCGTCAGACTGAAGGCAGAAATGAACGCTGCCTCCACCATGATAAAAACTTTTAAGAGGTTATTTTTCATTCAAGGTCAAATTAAGATATTAGCTTCTGGGATGAGTCGGGTCCGCTCCAGCCAGTGACTCCTCATGAACCTGACCACATCTCATGTTACTGCAGCATTTGTTATTCCAGTCAGCGTGGCAGCGGATCGCAGATTCAGCCACACCATAAAACAGCAATAAGTCGGTCTGAGGCAAAAGTGAACATCTTGGCTATATCTTGTCCCCTATAGACATTTGATTACGCACAAGTAGGTGATCAGTTCAGGTTTACCAGAGCAGAAGGAAGGAGAGCGCTCTGGCCGCACAGGTTAAACGTTCCTACTTTAAGAAAACCGTTAAATTGCATTGTTTATGTGCTACCTGGGCACTCTAAATATTTATTTAAAATGAAATCAAAGGAAATTGTAATGGTATCGAATGCTTATTAATTACTATTTAAAAAATGAAAGTGATGGGGAATTTTTTTAACCCTCTCTGTTTAGCTTGACATCTGATATATATATATATATATATATATATATATATATATATATATATATATATATAGAGAGAGAGAGAGAGAGAGAGAGAGAGAGAGAGAGAGAGCCATGCCCCGATGTGGGGGCTGGGGGTGGTGGAGGGGGGGGGGGGGGGGTGCGTCGACATGGTCGGGACATAGAAGGGGGTGCGCGGCTAAATAAGTTTGGGAACCACTGGCCTAAGCAGAGTGGCCCAGATCTCACTCTCCCCAGCCAATGGGGCCAGCTCCTCAGGGGGAATCCTAAGACGTTCCCTGACTAGCCGAGAGACATAGTCCCTCTAGTGTGTCCTGGGACTTCCATGGGTCTCCTCCCAGTTGGACGTGTACAGAAAACCTCACCAGGGTGGCACCCTAATCAGATGCCTGAGCCACCTCAACTGACTCCTCTCGGTGTGGAGGAGCAGCGGGTGTACTCTGAGCCTCCCAGATGACTGAGCTTCTCACCCTATCTCTAAGGGAAAGCCCAGACACCCTGTGGAGATAACTCATTTCAGTCACTCATATCCGTGATCTTGTTCTTTCGGTTACTACCCAAAACTCGTAACCATAGGTGAGGGTAGATTGGCCGGTAAATCGAGAGCTTTGCTTTCTGGCTCACTTCTCTCTTTACCATGACAGATTGACACAACGCCCACATCACTGCAGAAACAGCACCAATCCACCCATCGATCGCCCGATCCATCTTTTCTTCACTTGTTTCTGTTATTTTTAATTTCATGAATTCAGTTTTGACACATTATGCCTTTTTATTTGTTTATTTTTCAGTGAATTAAACCCATGTATTAATTTAATTAAATTTATTTTTTAGCTAAAACTGACATTAACTGTTGGAGCCAACCCTGTTTGGCTGTTAGCTGCAGATCTCTGAGAGTATCTGCAAGATACACAAAGTATTTCCCCCTAACCAAGGTTGTGAGGAACATCCAAAAGCTCCAATAATTCCCAAACTATCCACCATCTGTTAGCTCGGTGGGCAGCAGCAGCATCCGGCGGGTCAAAAATAACTGGTTGCTGAAATGGGAGGCTCAAAACGGGGCGACCTGCCTTGATATCACCAGTGTCTCTGATTCATTTCTAAAAATACTCTTTTCCCATTTCAGATCCAAGAAAAAATGGGCACACCAGGTCAGCAACTTTACAACTCAGCCCTCCCCCTGACTTTTCCATCAGCTTTAGATTTGACGGCAGTCACCTGAGGTGACACGCTACGACATATCATCAAGAGGAGATGACAGGAATATTGGGAGATGGCTGTTTTGGAGACATATTGGATCTGATGTGAGTAAATGAAGAGAACAGCAATCCCACAAACAGTATGTGCACAGAAAACAGGTATGTCCATTGGTTTTGTTAAAGAAACTCTCAAATGAGGTGTCTGTGGGAGGCTGTGAGTAACTCAGGGCTACATCTAGCTCTACATCCTCCTAGATCACCAGAAAATTGAGCTTGGAGGCGAGATTTAGTGCAGAGGCGTAAATAAATTTGGCATCTGAAATGCAGCGCCTGGCTGCCCACAACATCTCAGCTTCCAAAATAGCATCTCGATCCAGAGTAAAGGGCTGCATCTGCGCTGAAGCACAGTTAGTCATGACTAATGACCTCCAGGTGGCCTATAGCTGTCACATCTCAGAGCAGGGAGTGGAGCACATACAGAGTGGAGGAATGTGTTGTCTAGATGATCTGGAGACAAATGGTTAAATACCAGGACCAATGTACAGTCTAACTTTACCATAGAGATGCCACAGGAGCAGGTTTGTGTTAGAGGCCAGAAGAGGGTTGCTTTAAAAATCAGCTGCCTTCTGACATCCTTACACCAAATTCAAATGAGTTATACATTTTTAAACAAACAACTTTATTTCAATTTACAAAAACAAACACAACTGAGATGTTTGTCATGGATGAAATGGTCTATTTGTTGACTGTGAAGATAATACAAAGCAGTTCAAAAATGATGGCTCATTCTGGGGAATCACAGACCCGTGGAGAAATGGCGCATAAAACTTAAGGCTTAATGAATTTTACGCACTCACCTTGTGTAGTTTCCACATTGCGCCCAAAGCTTTGACTTCGTGCGTGCCGTGCTTCCCCTCTTCCAGACACTGATAACACACAGGCGTCTTACACTGCACGCAGTACATGCTCAGATTCTCCAGTTCGTGTTCGGTGCAGGTGGAGATTTTGCGGGGACTGGCGCGCCGGCTGATCCGGCCCTGCGCCGGCGGCACCAGGCGGTGCTTGGCGAGCGGACCGCGGGGAGGATGGCAGCGCAGGCGGCACGGGTCACAGTAAAACACGTCGCACTGCTCGCACATCACGGTGGCTTCTTTTGGACTCTTTTCGCACAGCTGACATTTAAGAGCGGCCGCCTTGCTCTGCTGATACCGGCCCACCACCCCCTCCAGCACCCGGTTCTTGGGGAATCCACGGAGTCCCCGGTCGTCTAGGATCAGGCTGCGGTGGCACTGTGGACAGGTGATGCACGAGTTGCGGGGGATTGGAGGCAAGGACGCCGGGTGCGGGAGAAGGTGATGCTGCGGGGCAGCCTGTGGGACAGTCGGGGGAAAAACCCGAACCCCGTTTGGGGATTTTTGACAAGGGGTGGTCGGCGCGCTGACGAACCCTCCATAGGAACCGTAGCCACTGTCTGACTCACTATACAAACTCATTTTGTCCAAATCCAGGTAGTCATAATCTGAGACGGCGGATCCGGAGGCTCGGCTGCTCTGTGGAGACTCAGCCTCCGGGGTCTGCACGAGAATATTCCGCGCACACGCCAGGCAAATGTTGTGGGAGCAAGGCAGAATGATGGGCTCTCGGTAGAAGGAGCCACAGACGGGGCATTTTAACTCTTCCTCCATTTCATCCATGGCTGCGTCTGGTGGGAGATTCCTCTGTTGTGCGCAAAAAGAAGCAACAGCAGCGCCTCGTTGATTAGTCTGCGCTCGGTGCGTAAAGAGCGCTCCGGACGCGTCCTGGTACGGATACTGCAACCTTGGCCAGAGGAGAGGAATCAGCACTGGAGGAGGCAGGAGCATCTGTGACCAATCAGCAGACAGCATTAGCACAGACTGGGAGATTATTGGACAGTCGGGGGATTGAGAGCAGCTGTTGGTCCGTTCGTCTGTCTGTTAAAGTCCATCAATGAGCTTTACAACATCGCTTAACCATACTGCGGATCCGGGAGTCTGGAATCCTTCTGCAAGTTCATTCTGACGAAATCAGTTAGTAAAAATCATGAAAAGAGTGGATGGATAAAAACGAGGTGAATTAAGGTGAAAACCAACACCCAGAAAAATTAATGTTAAAGGAAATATTCTGATAAGCTGATTAGTTCACAATGAAGTCACGTGCTAATGATTTAACACCGTTTTCTTTTAGAAGCAGCGCTATCAGTTTTACAAAACCTGTTTGTCTTTAACTCTGCAGGAAAAAAACAAACTAAAATAAAAAAGAAACGTGAGTCAAAATTTCCTAATTCATTATCTCTATTCAGACTACTTTCACGTGTTTCCATGGAAACCAGGGCAATTTCCAAGCATCTCAAACTTTTGCAGTAGCTGTGTGTTTATTAGTTGATCATCTCGTCTTAAGGCAAACCAAAGATCATTTACTGTTTAATACATGCTATTGTTGTTCAAATTTAATGGAAAGGAAAACATTGAAAAACAGTTTTTGAAAAAGATTTCAGTGTCTTTTCCTTTCCTTTCATGCAGCAGCAGATTTTAGTTTGATGAAAATGTGTTAGTTGGATTTGGATCCGGGTCTATAAATGTTCCATATTAGTTTTTTCTTTTTTCTCACTTTTTCTTTATGTTCTGCACTCTGTGCTTTCATTCACTCTGCTGCCACTCTCAGTTCCCAAAATTTTGAAACAAAAGGGTACTATAGGAAGCACAATTAAGATGTATCACTTTCTAAGAAAATAGATGTTGAAAACAAAACAAATCTTCCAATTTTATCAATAATTTGCTGATAAACGAGTCGTACCGTTCAGATGGGTTGACATTAATGACATCTTTGGGCAAAGGGTGATGTGTAAGAGGTTGTAATATACTTTGTGTTTCTATGAAAGCTTTTGCTTTGAGCAGATTCTCCTCAAAATGAAGATCCAGAAAATCCATTTTTGAAACTGTGACCTTGTGTTCTTGTGGAGGCAAGTAGAGGTAGCTCTGTGATTACATTTAAATACCTATAAAGCCCTTTTTAGGAAGAGAAGAGTACCAGTACACATGATGGAGATAATCAGTTGAATGAGTTTTGATAAAGAAAACTTTTTATGGTTTGATTGTTAACCCTTTGATGCATAATGGTCACTACAGTGGACAGGTACTCAAAATTGTTATTTATTTATTTTTGCTATTAAGCACAGCTGTTGAAGACTTTATTGCATGTGAGCCCCTCCATTTGGGCTTCAGCAAGTCAAGCCACCATATTTCATGTTCAGAATGCACGCTGTCCACTGAGATGGACATGTAATAAAGTATTTGTAAATTAACAAAATGTTACAAAAAATATTTGTTGAAATTTGTTTCATTCACACCTAAAGATGAATGAAAAAAATTGTTTAAAAAATCATGGTTGAAGATTTCATAATTCATGCATCAGAGGGTTAATAATCTCTTAAGAGAATTGCTTGGTTTCTCCTGAAGCTGCCATCCTGTCACTGCCTCCTCTTCATCATCATCCAGGAACTGAGAAAATACACAACAAACGGTGAGTTCAGCCATGTAGGCCTAAGTACGTTTCTGGATTACAGTGTTGATTCAAACCAAATGCCTCAAAAAGTCCATCAGCTATTTTTGGATGCAGCTTGCTGCCGCCTCCAGCGTGATGACATTGTTTTCTTTGTAACGTCCTCACTTCAGGGCCACGCTGCAGCGTCCTCCTTGCTGCCTCTGAGTAGGCTGCTGAATCTCTATTTATCTGTTTTGTTGTTCAGAGCCAAAGCTCTCCTGCTGCGAGTGCGCGCAAACACACACACACACACACACACACACACACACACACACACACACACACACACACACACACACACACACACACACACACACACACACACACACACACACACACACACACACACACACACACACTGGTATTCACACACTTGTGGGGATTAGGCTGAATTATACCTAACCCTAACCAATGGGGTTCTATTCCATATCAGCGTTTGCATTTAGTAAAAGATCTATTTATGTTTGGTGCACTGACCCCTGAGGGCAGCATCTTACCAGTTAAGGTGGCTCAGACTGGAGGTCAGGATGCCTCTTGGTTGCTTCCCTGAGGTTGTGACCCGGGACACGCTGGAGGGACTATGTCTCTTGGCTGGCAGGGAATGAATTAGGAGTCCCCTGGAGGAGTTGGCCCAAGTGGCTGGGGAGAGGGAAATCTGGGCGTCTTGTCTTAGGCTGCTGCCCTCGTGATCTGACTCCGGATAAGCGGCTGAAAATGGATAGATGGATTGTATTTTCTTTCAAATTAACATTTGATTGATTTAGAAGCAGGATTTTGTGTAAAAATGATAAATAATTCTGTTTTTGATTGTAGCTTCCTGTTTGAAGGACAATCAATTTGTGTCCCAGAGGACTGATGGGCTAACGACTAGTCGGAGTGCAGCCAAGACCAAACGGCTGCTGTCATTTAAAACAACTCCAGTCTCAAAATGCTTATCACAGTTATTACAAGCCAATTTACCGGGCTAGCTCAACTCTTCTAGATTTTACTAACATCTCAGGGTTTGACTTGTAATCGATGTAGTGAGCGTGACAATGCCAGTTACCAACAAACACTCTTACTCTGTAGAGAGTTGATTAGCAATCACCACATTACCCAGGGCTTCTAATTCTGACCAAAATTAGTTCAAGCAGACAAAGACGAGGCACAAACACACCTACACACCTGTCCAGTCCATGCAGCTTATGTACACTTCAGGTTAAGACCCTTGCCAGCTGTTCCTTTTATGCTGAGGAGACAACTGACTTTACTTGTAGCCTAGGATGGAGGAAACGATATGTATCAATACCTTGGGATGGCATTTACAACCGGTATCTCACCTTTGCTCGGTTACCGACAGGAGGAGACCCCACTCGGAAATACTTTTTTCGTTCCACGAATCCGAGGAACTAGGATTTATTTCACACAGATGAAAAAAGAATAATAATCCAAACGAAACCCCGACAAAGCGGGTTAAAAAGTGAAACAACTCTTTGCCAATAAACCGAGTTATAGCAAAGTTGAGCTGAATAAGTTCTCCAAAAATGACACTAGGTCAGATTATCACAGACAAAAAGCTCAAAGCAAAAGCTTCCTTCTTTCCATCTCTCTACCTCGCAAACTCTTCCCATCAAAGGCCATTCCTCCAGACCCAGTAGCTCCTATTTATTTACCGTATTTTCATGACCACAAGGCGCACCTAAAAGTCTTAAATTTTCTCCAAAATGTACGCCGCTCCATATGGTGCGATGCGCCTATTGTGTTGTTGTGAGACACGGACGTAGTAGAAGACAAGGGGCGTGGCGTGAACGTGCGGACGTGAGCGAAGACAGACCCCGAATAGTTCAAAAGGGGCTGGTATGCACGGTATACTGAACATTGTTCTGACAACCCTGAGAATGGTACCTGCTAAGAGACACGCCTATGAAGCACAGTTTAAACTGCAAGCGATCAGCTACGCGGAGAAACACGGGAATAGAGCAGCGGCGAGAGAATTCAGCATTGATGAGTCCATGGTTCGCAAGTGGAGGAAGTTGGAAAACAAACTGCGACAAAGATGCAGCTGTGTTTCCGGGCGAGTTACGCCACAATTTGTGAATGGATTGTAAATGCTTGGGCTAATGTGTCTACTTGTACTGTTGTTCGGGCTTTTGCAAAAGCCGACATCATTCACGAGGAGACGGACGGCAACGAGACAGACTCTGACTCTGACGAGAGAGAACCTGGCGTGTTTGACTGTACTCTAGCCCAGTTGTTTTTATCAGATACAGAAGATGAGGACTTTGATGGATTTGATGATTAATTAATAGCACTCAAATAAAGCACAACCGAACTCATATTTGCTAAACACATTCTGAACTTCAACACCGCACATCAGCGCATAAGAAGAGCACGAGCCGTCAGCGCACGCAATGAAGAAGTGCACGTGTGCTCTAAAGCAGGTCTGAACCAGGACTAGACCAGTAAAGTGAAACATGCTTTTGGCTGTTTATAATTTTCACAATGTCTGGTTTGCACTGATATGTTCCGAGTTCCGAGCCCGCACAGATGTTTTACCGGTACGTTTTACCGTGCACGCGCCTGTGCCCTATAACATGGTGCGCCTTTTGTATGCATTAAATACCAAAAAGACACCTGGAACTGAAGCTGCGCCCTATAACACGGTGTGCCCTATGGTAGTGAAAATACGGTACTCTCCCCCTCCCTCATGGTCATTTCTTTGTTTGCTGCTTCAGACTTCAGACTTCCTGGTCACGTGTTCCTCTTCTTCTTGTTACTTCTCCAACAGCCCCAAAGAGACCATGAATCTTGGATGTCATGATGTCACCTTTTCTTCTCCCAGTCTTCATCTGTTCACTTGTTTCTTCTTCTCAGCGCCTCTAGCAGGCATTCCTCTTCTCTGCATGCTGTTGGCATCAGCCCAACGTTGCACCTCCTTCTTGCTTGTCAGGGGGAGCACATTTATCGATTCTAAAAGTCTATGTCTTGTTTGGATAAACCGTTAGCTGGTGCACCTGGACTTTCTCCAGAATGAGCCTCCTTACCTCCTTGCCTCCTCCACTTCTCTGGATGTCAAAAAGGTTACGACAGAACCGTGAGACCGAAACAGCTCGGTGAAGGCAACTAGCAATTTACGACTTCAGGGGTGATAAGAGACAAGGCTGTTGGGACACACACACACACACACACACACGGATACACTTTGGAAAGCCTAGAATTGATATCACATAAGGAGAGACATAATCCAGACTTAATTCCATCCATTACAAAGTCTGATTATACTCCATACAACAACAGTTCATGCAAAAATATTTTTCTAAACCTTTAAACAACCATTTCTTTGTTAATTTTACACATTGTTAAAGAACTTTCTGCCAGATTTGAACCTGGATGCACAGGAAGTCTACTCTCGGTGATATTTACACTATTTGTGAGATTAGCATCTTTGTAAGATCTTTCACATGACCTGCTTGACATTTTGTAGATTGGGGTTTCTTGTTTTTACTCCATTTGTTTGCTCATATAATCTCACTCTAATCATTCCAACTACTTTAGGTTCTAATTGCCAACCTCCCTGAAGCTCCTACTGTTTGTCATGGTCTGTGTCTGCGTCTCCCCTCTTGTGTCCTCCATTCATCTCTAGATTCCCCTTTTGTGTCTCATAGCGCCCTCTTGTGTCCTTTGTCTGCGTCTC